CTCCCCTGCTTTGCATGGCCCTGTGCCCAGGATCCTCACTCTGCCCATGTCCCTGCTGCTGGCAGCTGTCCCCAAAGCCCTCCACTCCCTGAGCATCCCCATCACGGTGGGAAATCCCACAGGCTTCAGGAAAGAAATCCCCCCACAGTGACCACCCCAGTCTTTGCTCAGAGGGTTCCAAGGGGAAATCCAGCACCAGCACATTTTCAAAGGTGGGCTCAGGGAAGGTGTGATGTCCAGGGGCTCTGGCAGCCCCTCAGAGCTGATCCCAAGGGCTCAGCTCAGAAAGCTGAAAGTTCCAGACCAGTTGCTGCAGATATTTCAAAGGATTCAATGCCATGAAGGTGTCTCTGAATGTGCCCTCGGGGCACTCCCACCTGCATCCCAAAGGGAGCACAAAGGACAGGGCTCTGCTCTCAGCACTGCTGACTCCTAACCCAGCAATGAAATATCAGGGAGAGGCAGTAATTGAGGGCACCAGGGAACCTGGCCTCTAATAAAAGGCAGGAATCCCACAGCCCACCCAACCCAGTGCCCTGTGTGTCTGTACCTTCTCCTCCCCCTCCTCCTCTCTTCTCTCGTGCCACTTTGTCCATTTTCTGTGTCTGGGAGCTTGGCTTCTCTCTCTCCTGTCTGCAGGTTCAGCCTCACGTGTGACCCTGCAGGAACAGCCTGACCTGCAAACAAAGGTGATTTTGGTTATTGCAGAGCTTTGGGAGCAACTCAAGGCACGTCCTGCTCCCTGGGAGAAGAGGAGAAAAGCTTCACCCCACACAGTGAGGAGTGGGATAACCACCATTAACCCCCTCCCATCCACCAGCATCCCTCAAGTGCTGCTTTTCCCTCCCAGAAATGCCACCAAAAATGTTCCTGTGCTGCCAGGCTGGCTCTGATCCACAGTGGAAATGGAACCCTGAGCCCAGGTCCCAGGACAGCACTGAAACTCCACACCAGGAGTGGATTTGGAGGCTGCCTGGAGAAAGGGGAATTGTTGCTGATTGGGGCAGGCAGAATAAAATGCAGCTGCCAAAGGGAAATCAAAGCCTCCTGCAGAGTGCAGCCAGGTACATCAAGGCTGTGCTGCTGTGGAAATACTGTATTAAAAGGAATTTATGATCACTACTATCTGCCAACAAAAATACACAGAATACATTAAGCTTTGGGTTTAAATGCAGAAAAGATAGGAAATTCAGAGTGTTTTTCACTAGTTCACCACAACACATCTCAGCCCAGCCCAGCACTGGGGTGAAGAGGAGGCAATATTTGGTTGCTACTTCTTGATGGCATTTCTGCTTCTGTTAATGCAGGAATTCTGCCTGCCCAGCTGCAGCTGAAGAGCCACAGAGCTGCTCACAGATGGACAGACAGACCACAGCTGCTCACCCTCCTCCCTCCTGAGGAGAAATCCCTGTTCAGCCTTGCCTTTCTCTCTTCCTTTTAAAACCTAAAAAGATACCTGGGAGAGAGTAACAGCTTGCAGGAGACAGGGAGCATCTCCTGCCAAAGGGAAGTGAAGACAAGGGTAATTGTTTTGTACAATAAATACATGTACTCACAGACAAAAAGCTCTGGATTGATCCCTCCTTGTTCAAGACCAAAGAGACATTTCCCTGATCAAAGGACCTGGTGCTTCCTACATAAGACTGGGATGTTTGTCACAATTCAGACAGAAACATTTCAAACCCTGTAGTCATCCAGTAGCTAGAAATGCATTTAGAAAAAGCAGGAAAATCCATCTGGGAGGATTTCCTATTAGGATAAGGTTTGCCTTTCTGGCAGATTCTCTTTCTCTCCATCATTCCTGTCCACTGGAAGCTGCATTGAGAGGACAGGTGTGATTATCTCACACCTTAAACGATGGGAGGACAGGCTAGAGGTGGCTCCTCCACACTTGGAATGTTTTCCATGGACAGATCCCATCCCCCTCCTGGACCTTGAACTTGTGACACACAGGACCTTTCATCTCTGGCTGTCTGGGAGCATCCTCCCACGCTGAGGAGCTGGGCTCTGCAGGATTTTGGTGCCATCACCACCCCGTGCTCAGCTCTGCTGTCCCTGGCTCAGACAGGAAAAGCACAGCAGTGATGACCTGGTGCAGCAGGAGATGGGGAGGAGGAGGAGGAGGAGGAGGAGGAGGATGGGGATGAGCTCTGAGGGCCCTTCCAGCCCCAGCTGCTGTAGGATCAAATGCCATGGAGTGCTGGGGGAGGACAATCCCCTCCTCCACAGCCATGGATGCACTCAGAGTAGAATAAAGGCTGAGCTGGTGCCTCCCCATAAAACCAGTGACTTTCCTGGATGTCACACCAGTGCTGGGCCAGCCAGGTGACAGCTCAGCAGTGGCTGCAGCAGCTCTGGGCTGTCACACAGCCAGGAACAGCCCCTGTCAGGGCAGCAGAGCAGAGCTCAGCCCAGCCCAGCCCAGCTTAGGGTTAGGGTTAGCCCAGCCCAACAAAACCCAGCCTAGCCCAGCTCAGCACAGGGGATGATGGGTGGGCTCTGCTCCAGAGAATCATCCAAAGGGAAAGCACATCCAGCAGGGCAGGGAGGCTCAGCCCTCCCATTTCTATTCTCAGCAAGCCAGGAAATCAAAGCAAACCAAAGCAAACCTGGTGCTCCACACCCAGCACAGCCAAATGACAGAGGCTGCTCCAGCCAGGACACAAACCCTCCCTGCTCCTGCTCTGCACACAAAAAGAGATTTAACCAAGAGCATCCCAACCCCAGAGCAAAACTCAGATGGATTTAAGCAGCTCTTGGTGCTCCAGGGATTTCTCCTCGCTGCTCAGAGCAGCAGCCCAGGTTCATGGCACAGCAGGACAAACACTGTGCTTTAATAAATAAACCATGGAAAACATCTCTGTTTTCAACAGGAAGATTGACATTGCCACTTTAAAATGTTCCAGCTGTTCAAGGAAGGTCTTGTCTCTTATTTAGTTTGGGGTATTTTGAAGTCACATTTGTGTTTGAGGGTGGGTGGACTTGAATAATGTGATTAAAATTGCTGATTTAGACGAGTAAGCTGGAAATCCTGAATTTTAATCATGTTTCAGTATGTAGCTTCTAGACATTTCCCTTAAAAATAGTTGATTCTCTTTGATTCCTATAATTTGATACTATTCAACAACTGGGAGCACACACTGGAGCAATACATATGTAAGCAATTACACAGCTTCACATGCTGCTAAAACAGAATCATTCTGTTAATAGCTTTTTCCCGAGAGAAATTAATTTTTTTACTTATTGTTTGCATTAAGCTGCGTTGGGGAAATGAAACTCAATTAAAAATATAGAAAAACACGCCTATATTTAAGGCATTTGGTAACATTTTTTTTTTTTTTTTCTCCTTGGCACCTCAGACAAATAAAAGATGTGCATCCACAGGTAGGCACTGCATGGATGTGTTGCTGAATGGTTCCTCTTCCCTGAGAGCTGCAAATCCTACAGCTGCCAGACCTCATCCCTTGCTCCTCATAAAGGGAGAGAAGAGTTTCCATTCTAATTAATTTCCCAGCTCTAAATCAACTACCCAGTGAGTAGAAATAGCTGTGAAATCCCCTCCACAAACCTGCCAGAAGGGCCACAGCTGTGGAGGGGGAACAGCAAATTCCCTCCCCCACAATTGGTTTGGACTCCTTACCAGCTAAAAAATATCTCACTCTTGGGATTTTTTTTTTTTTTTAACCACAGCTACAATAAATTAAAATCAATTAAAAATAAGATCACAGAATGGTTTGGGTGGAAAGGAACCTTAAAGCTCATTCTGTTCCAATCCCCTGCCACGGCAGGGACACCTCCCACTGTCCCAGGTGTTCCAACCCCAATGTCCAACCTGGCCTTGGGCACTGCCAGGGATCCAGGGGCAGCCACAGCAAATCTGGGAATTCCATCCCCAGCCTGCCAGGGAACAATTCCTCCCTCATGTCCCAATCCCAGTTTGGACAGGTGTCACTGCATGGCCTTGGGATGATGGATCAAAGGGTTTGAGCAGAGCTCCCAGTGCCTGTGCTGGGATTGTGCCACCCCCCTGCCCCTCAATCCCTCAGCTAAAAGGAGTGTCCAACAGCTAAAGCACTCCCAGAGGATAAAACCCTTGTCACTGCACGAATGACAAGGTTTTTATTGGGAATAAATGTCAAAGCAGAGCGACATTTCTTTTCCAAGCAGGAGACACTGATCCTGTGGCAGCACTGCGGGGATGGTGTTATTCCTGCTCTGATTTAATCCCTTTATCAGCTGCAGGAGCGCCAGGACAGGCTCTGGTCTCTGACTGTCACTGCTGTCCCCACGAGCTGTCCCCAGCCCCGGGTGCTGCCTCTGCAGCCCAAAGCACCTGGAGATCCCCACGAGCATCAGCACTCGTTTATTGGGATGTGCTCTGTCCATAAAGTTCCTAAAGAGACACTGAGGAAGACTTTAATTTACAGCCCCATTCTTTTAATCTTGGTCAGCCAGATTTTTTCAGACATCTGTTTATATCTCCTTATAATATATTGGCTGGAGCAGCAGCACCAGGCAGCAGCTCCCTGGCAGGGGCTCTGCTGACATTTATAAACCGAAGCGATTTCTCTCGTGTGCTTTATGTTATCAGCTAAACCTGTCCACTTAAATTATTGCCTTGTAACCAAATCACAACTATCTGTTACTCTGCTCTGTGCACGTTTCCCAAGCTTTGTACCAATATCAAGCTTTGCAGAGGCTGAAAACAAGATGATAAATAAATAAACAAATGGAGAACAGGACATGCTTCCTCCAGGCTCACAACTGAGGGGGGATCAGGCACGTTGTGCATTACTAAAAGCAGAGGGTTGCTGTGTGGAATATGCAGTGATATCCAAAAAAAACCCAATTCTCATTTTCTAGACCAGCCAGATGACCAGATGTGTTTCCTCACTGAAGGAGAAAGGTTTCATCCTTTCCTTTTCCTGCTCCTTTCCAGCACATCATTCCACAATGCTGCTGGCCACAATGGGTTTGTGTTCCAGCATGGGGACAGGGCTGAGCCCCAGCTCTGCACAGCAAGGTGGACATCACACCCTGACCTAAACCTCCCAGCAAGGCTGTGCAGGCACCCACTGAGCTCCTGGCAGTGCCTTCCCCATCCCATCCCATGGATCCCATCCCACCCCATGGATCCCATCCCATTCCATGGATCCCATCCCATGGATCCCAGCCCATCCCATCCCATGGATCCCAATGATCCCAGCCCATCCCCACCCCTTGGACAAAGACTGCCCAACAAGAGGAGCCCGGGAGGGACAGGAGACTCTCCCCTGCAGCACCTCTGTGTCCCCTGGCACAGGAATGTCCCCTGGGAAGGCTGGAGCAAGCAGAACAAAGGTGATCCAGCTCCCTGGGGCTTGTCCCCAGGTGGGCATCCTTGTCTGCCATTGTCAGAGAATTCAAAAATCCATCAAGGCTTTGAAAACAAGCCCCAGTTATGAGTCAGTGAGTGGCTCTGCAGCTCTCAAAAATTACCTCTCTATGTGAGCAAGCCCCAGATAACATCTACCTTCCTTTACTCTTTGTTTCTCTCCACGAAGGGAGTGAGGGAAAAGGGACTTTGTTTCTAGTGCAGGCAGCAAAGAAATCTGGAATCAATATGTGAATGTTCCAGCAAAACACAGCAGCAGTGCTGCAGTATCAGAATGATCACACTGCCAGAGCACCCACAACAAGTTATCTGATGGCACCTTCTCTGTTAATGAAATGATGATTAAAAACCACCAGAAGACAAATCCCTGGAGCAGCAGAGCTCCCCAGAGATGCATCCCCAGCTCCAGGAGCCACCAGGGGCTGGGGGCTGGCTGAGGCTGGTGGCACACAGGGGACACTGTGCCTGACCCCAGGCTGGATGGGATGTCCCACACCAGGGTGCTCAGAGGAAAAGAGAGGAGCCAGGCCCAGTGTGGGGGGCTCAGCTCACACCCTGACCCCAGGCTCTGGTTACAGCTGCTCAGCAAGGAAGCAGAAATGCTTGCTTCTGGGGTTTTTTTCCCCTACAAAGGCAAATCCTGTCACTCTCCACATTGTTTGTTACATCAAAACAGAACATTTTGACACACAAAAGGAAGATATGTAGCAGACACAGGTAAGGAAGAGATGGATTACTGATGGGAAGAGGAGGCCCAGAGCCTGAATCTCATTTTATTTCTTTCTGTCCCTTTTTCACTCAGCTGCAGCTTTTTGCATTAGTTCACTGTCTGGCACTCACTGCTCCTCCCAATTAAATGCCACTGGAAAATGTCATTAATAAGCTCAATGTCACCTCCTGATAGCTGGTGGAGAGGTTTCAGAGCCTGGAAGCTCCCCCAGCACCCCCAGCACCCCCACCCCGGGCAGGGAGGGGGCTCAGAACCTGTGTGTGTGCACATTGCAAGTACAAACTCCTGTGATGCTGGAGGAAACATTTCACAAATGCACTCCCTGTGCAGCTCTCACTGCTGGAAGCCACAGCTGCCTGTTGAGCACAGCATCTCCTCTGAGAGGCACCAGCCTCTGGATTTCTCAGGTAACCAGTGACAGCAGTGTCACCTAGTGCAGTTAATTATAGAGAAAACTCTTTTATAAAATCACAGTATGCTGTCCATGTCCATAAACTGTCCCTAAAGCATGAGCTCTGCAGGGGATGGGGCCCAGTGCCACTGTGCCACCTCTCCCTGTTGCACACAGGTGGAGATAATGTAAAAAAAAGGCCTTGTAAAATATGGTTTAACCCTGCTACTCCAGCTAAGCTAACAGTTAGCTTGTTACTTCCCAGGTGAAAAAAGAAAAATCATGAAAGTCAGTTAAGCACAACAATCTATTCTGACAACAGAACTGTTCAGACCTGCAAAACCAGGAAATCTGTCCCATGAGAATCAGTGAAGAAAATATGTAAACATATCTAAGGAGAGAAAATCTGATAGACAGATACAATAGCCCTTACCAAGCAATAAACTGAATTTCACTGCTGACCAATTGGGTTTAACACACTGCCTTCGGATATTTCCCATAAACATGAGCTATGTGAATAAAGAATTGGCTTTTTCTGCATGAAGGAACTGAGTGCCATCTGCTCATTACTGCCACATGTCCCAGCACTGCCCAGCTCTGGCTGAAGTGGATTTTGGATTTTTGCTGCCTGTGCCTGCAGTGACCAGTGCTGCTGTGGCAGCCTGGATTCATCACCCCTGTTCTGTGTGACCATAACCCACAGGGCTGACAGGGACAGAGATTCCTTCTCTTCCTGGCATTGCAGAGGAGACCCTACAGGGAGGAGTTTTGTCCTTATAGAATGAGCAAACAATTGTCCCTGCTGCTTCTTTCTGCCTCCCAGGGCTCCCAGACACACGGGCCTGATGCCCAAGCCACAGATGTCACACAGGGTCCTCCAGAATGGGCTGAACTGCTGAGAGACTGAATGAAGAGTTCAAAGCACCTCGAGGAAACCAAGGAAGTCTCATGTAAGACACTTCACTTGGTTGCTTTATCTGACAAGCCTTTCTGTGACATTCCAAGCTATGTTAATAAATATCCTGTCACAACGGTGATGTCCAAGTGTGACATCTCCTCCAACACGGATTTTGTTCCGTGCTGCAGTGGAGCAGGGACAGAATCCATCTGAAATGCCTTCAGGCTTGCCAAGGGTGGATCTGTGCCCTGTTCAACACCCAGCACTGCTGCTGGCAGCAAAGGCATTCCTGGGACAGCCCCAAAGCCACCCTGCAGTGACACAACACCGAGAGTGACCCTGCCCAGGCTCCTCACACATCCCAGAGCAGCAGCACTGCTTTCTGCTGGAATTGAATCCCACTGAACAGGGGCAGGGAAACAATTATGGAATGGTTTGGGTTGGAAGGGACCTAACAGATCATCCACTTCCAGCCCCGCTGCCACAGGCAGTGATGCCACCCCAAAAGGGCTGATCCCATTCCAGATTGTCATTTAGCATGAGAGACGTGACCCAGTGCTGCTTGCTCTCCTGGGGCTGATGCCACAGAGCTCTTGGGGTGTTAAGGAACCCTAACACTCACCCTAAACCCTAAACTCTAACCCTAAATTCTAAATCCTAAACCTTTTGGGGTGTTAAGGAAATCTAACCCTAAACTCTAACCCTAAACACAAACACTAAACCCTAAATTCTAAACCCTAACCTTACCCTAACACTAATCCTAAACCTTAACCCTAAAACCTAACACTAAACTCTAAATTCTAAACTCTAACCCTAATCCTAAACCCTAACCCCTAAGCCCTAACTCTTACCACAAACCCTAAACTCTAACACTAAACCCTAACCCTAACCCCTAACACTAAACCCTAACCCTTAACCCAAAACCCAAATGCCAACCCTAACCCCTAACCCTAAACCCAAAACCCCAACCCTCCTCACAAGCAGGGTTACAGGACACACCCCACCCTCAGTAACTCTTGGGAGAATTTTCTTGCACCCTGTGATTTTTAATGCCAACCTTGCTGCAATAACCACGTCTTTAAGCACCATCCATCAGCCCTTCAGCTCAAACACAAAAGGGTTTTAGAGCCACTCTTTTGTCCCAGCGCTGAGAGGTCTCCTCTGTAATTTGTTCCCCTCAGCAAAGAGAATGGAAACGTTTTTAAAACGATGCCAGAATCCAACCCCTCCTCCCTGATTCAATCCCCAGCTAGCAGAGAACAAAGCCTCACAAGGAAGGGGCTCTCCACTAAGTAACCCTTGATTAGAGATGGGGACAGGCAGGACAATGGGGACAGGAAGGACAATGGGGACAGGAAGGGTGTCTGTCACACACAGGGCACAGCCTGGGTGCCATAGGGTGCCATGGGGTGCCAGGACAGGACAGGAGGGGTGTCTGTCACACACAGGGCACAGCCTGGGGCCATGGGGTGCCCCTGGGAAGTCTGGAAACGATGGAGGAGAAGGTGGAGGGAGGGCAGCGAGGTGCCTGGGGAGGGATCTCAGGGAAGGGAGGGCGCACAGGAGGGCTCAGAGGGAAGTGCAGTGCCTCCATCACAGACATGTGCTGATGTTTCTGCTGCTGCAATGGGGAAATGCTTCTGTGGCACAGAGCTCCTCCAACAAGTGCTCTGCCCTCCCACCTCCCTCCTTTCGCAGTGCAACAGCAGCAGACACAGCAGGGGAGAAAAAAACCCACAGGGCAGGAAGAAGAAGGGCTGTCCTTTTGTAGAGTGGGCACAACATGTTTGTTTTCACCTTCTCAGCAAAGCCTTCTGCTTCGAGGCAGGCACTGCAGTGAGTTACCACAGCCCCGGGTGCAGCAGGAGCCCTGTGCTCAGGATTCAATACAAGACACTTGATTTCTTTTTTCCTTCTGATACTGGGCTCGAAGCCTGTGAACTGCAGCAGTTTTAGAGAGTTTAATCCCACAAAGGTCTTAGCAGAAGAAACACAGAGACCAAAGGTATCCAGCCTCACTCTGATATTTCATCTCTCAAACACACCAGGCTCCAGTGACCTCTGTCTCACCACGGCCCCAAGTCAACAGCCACAGAGAAGCTTATTTTAAAAAGCCAGTTTTAATCCCTCTCCAACTCACTCCATTATTTATTTCCAAGCCAATGCTACAATCCATTCAGTAATTGTCATCCCTCAGGTGCATTTGTTACTCCAGAAAGCCCATCTGGAATGCTGAAGGCTTGGATACATTCAGAGAAGATCAATGCAGGACGTGGGCAGAGAAGGACAAGGCAGCTGACCAGGAGAATTGAGAACCTGACAAAAGGAACTGAGGATGATATTAATTTTGTGGAATTTTAGGCATTTAATACTTTTTTTTGAGAGAGGCACTACTGGTTTCTTTGCTATGATGGAGATTAGCACCTCCAGAACATCATCAACCATCGTGAATGCCACATCTGTCACTCTCAGAGAGCCTCTCCCCCTGTCTCAGGGACTCATGAAATGGCCACCAAGGAACCTGGCAATGTGGAGGCACAGAAAGGACACCACAGGGAGGGATAATCCATCAGGACCAACACCAGAGTGAGAATCAGGAGGTCTCAGATGGCCATGGTTAATCATGGCTGGAAACGAGGCTGAAGGCTGAAAGTGCACAGCTCGAGGAGGGTAAAGGAGCAAAAACTGAAATTATTTTCCAGGAAGGATGGGAAGCTCAAGCAGGGGTGCTCATGACCAGACCTCAGCACTGTTTCTGTCCTCAGCTCCTGAGCCTGTCACTCAGAGCTGAAACTGCAAAGTGTCTTAGG